TTTGGCAGGAAGCAAACTGGAGGAATAAACCTGAACGTTTCTGTCCGTGTTCCTCTGGAGGAAACCAACCTGTGAGACTGATTCTGAGTCTTTAAACCACAAACTGTACAGAAGAGTGAGAGAAACATAATAAATATCATATCAACAACCTTTTGTCTGTAGCACCTTCTTCTGAAGACAGTTTGACCAATGACAGATCAGATACTGTTGGAGTAGAACTTTTTGTAACGTTATTACATCACTTTATAATGAAGTGAAGAAGATGATAAGTCTTATTAACCCTGTGAGGGTTTTACACTCTGTTGTTGAACACGCTACACACACATGCTCAAACAGGACCCTGTGGACATGCGGGGGGGGGGGCTGGCTTCTCTCCAGCTACCAGACCAACTTAAAGACTTAAAGCTGCTCATGATACTAGAATTTTAAATATTGTTTTTATGAGAATATATATATATATAGAAAAAAAATCAAGCAATATTGTTACCATGGCAACCAAATAAAAGTTCTAGGCACCTTATACTGGAGAACTTCTTAATTTTGGGGTTGGCAGTCGCTCAGTCTGCAGGGACCTGGGTTGGGAACTGGTTCCAGTCCCAGTGCTGACTAAGTGTTAAAATTGGTCTGGTAGCTGGGGAGGTGCCAGTTCACTTCCTGAGCACCGTTGAGCAAGGTAACAAATCCACCAACTCAGCAGTCTAAATCAGAATGCACAAAGACATTGATAACGTTTAGACGGGTGTGCAGGAGTTCGCCTGCAGTTCTTGATGCATTCTTTCCTCTCCTGCCCGTCTGCTGAGTAAGATGTAGTTTAACGCTTCAGCAGTTTTTGATTCAAAATAAAAGATCGTATCGTTTTAAAACGTGGTGTTGGGAAAGTTTCACATTTCACAACCTGAGTTCATAATTAGTGATTTTAGATCGCTCTGATCCGTTGATCACCTTTGATATAAAAACGCGCTCGCCGTCTGTATGAATCACGCTCTTTAGAAGCTCATCTTATAAACAGTCGATAGGATGAAATCACACACACACACACACACACACACACAGAGTCTTTGTTCTGTTTCTTTTATTCAGTGTAAACATGAAGCTGGAGGTTCTGCTACATTAGTGCTTGTTTGACCCAGCTGACCCTGAACGCCTCCACCTGATGATGCCTTCACTGTCCTCTGGTTTCAGGGGGGATTAAACCCAGAGCTGTGGACAGGCGGTCTCTGTCCCATCATCCGCACTCACACCCCAAGGTCTCCTTCAGAGTGTGTATTTGTTGAAAGAGAGAGAAGAGCGCACAGATGTTCCTGGTTCATTAGATAGATAGAATCTTTATTATCATTAATATTAGCGAGCCAGCTTGGAGAGTTGCGGGTTTGTAGTGACCCTGTGTCTCTCCACCAATCAGAGGGCTGCTGTCTCCAGAGAGACGAGTCTCCCTCATGTCAGTCTGCATCGCCTGAATCTAGCAGCCTTAAGTGAGGTGAGGTCTGCAAGGGGGAGAGGTGGAGGTGTGACTGAGGCGACAGGAAGCAGCTCGGCCTCATAATGAAATAAATAGAGAGGTCCTATAGTGTTAGCTGAGCTGTAGCGCCCTCTATCTGCAGCGAGCTGAATAAATAAAGCAGCAGGCTTCAGGACTCAGATACTGAAGCATGAAGAGTACTTTAAATATGTAGTACTGTAGAGTTTCACCGCTGCCACAGACATGTTTGTAGTTTTTATACTTTATGATCGTCTGATTGTGACTCTCGCACTAAAGCAGGAAGCGTCCTGATGTTTGATGTTTCTGGCAGCAGTGATCGTTTGTGGATTCTGGAAGACTGATGATGTCAGCACGGTACTACAGTAACACTTAAATATACTGTAGTCTTACTGTAGTCTTACTGTAGTGTTACTGTAGTCTTATTGTAGTCTTACTGTAGTGTAACTGTAGTCTTACTGTAGTCTTACTGTAGTCTTACTGTAGTCTTATTGTAGTGTAACTGTAGTCTTACTGTAGTGTAACTGTAGTCTTACTGTAGTCTTATTGTAGTGTAACTGTAGTCTTACTGTAGTGTAACTGTAGTCTTACTGTAGTCTTACTGTAGTCTTATTGTAGTCTTACTGTAGTGTTACTGTAGTCTTATTGTAGTCTTACTGTAGTCTTACTGTAGTGTAACTGTAGTGTTACTGTAGTCTTATTGTAGTCTTACTGTAGTGTTACTGTAGTGTTATCATAGTCTTACTGTAGTCTTACTGTAGTCTTACTGTAGTCTTATTGTAGTCTTACTGTAGTCTTACTGTAGTGTTACTGTAGTGTTATTGTAGTCTTACTGTAGTGTTACTGTAATGTTGCTGTAGTCTTACTGTAGTGTAACTGTAGTGTTACTGTAGTCTTATTGTAGTCTTACTGTAGTGTTACTGTAGTGTTACTGTAGTCTTATTGTAGTCTTACTGTAGTCTTACTGTAGTCTTATTGTAGTCTTACTGTAGTGTAACTGTAGTCTTACTGTAGTGTTACTGTAGTCTTATTGTAGTCTTACTGTAGTCTTACTGTAGTCTTATTGTAGTCTTACTGTAGTGTAACTGTAGTGTTACTGTAGTCTTATTGTAGTCTTACTGTAGTCTTACTGTAGTCTTATTGTAGTCTTACTGTAGTGTAACTGTAGTCTTACTGTAGTGTTACTGTAATATTGCTGTAGTGTTACTGTAATGTTACTGTAGTGTTACTGTAGTGTTACTGTAGTGTTACTGTAATATTGCTGTAATGTTGCTGTAGTGTTGCTTTAGTGTTACTGTAATGTTACTGTAGTGTAACTGTAGTCTTACTGTAGTGTTACTGTAATATTGCTGTAATGTTGCTGTAGTGTTGCTTTAGTGTTACTGTAATGTTGCTGTAGTGTTGCTGTAATATTGCTGTAGTGTTACTGTAATATTGCTGTAGTGTTACTGTAATGTTGCTGTAGTGTTGCTTTAGTGTTACTGTAATGTTGCTGTAGTCTTACTGTAGTGTTACTGTAGTGTTACTGTAGTGTTGCTGTAGTGTTACTTTAGTGTTACTGTAGTCTTACTGTAGTGTTACTGTAGTCTTACTGTAGTGTTACTGTAGTGTTACTGTAGTGTTGCTGTAGTCTTACTGTAATGTTGCTGTAGTGTTGCTTTAGTGTTACTGTAGTCTTACTGTAGTGTTGCTGTAGTGTTGCTTTAGTGTTACTGTAGTGTTACTGTAGTGTTGCTGTAATGTTGCTGTAGTGTTGCTTTAGTGTTACTGTAGTGTTACTGTAATGTTGCTGTAGTGTTACTGTAGTGTTACTGTAGTGTTACTGTAGGTCTGTGCAACACAGTGCGGTGTTTGTCGGGACTGGTTCCTGTTTTCTTCCTGTTGGAGGCACTTTGAAGTTCAGGTTCTGGTTGTTTGTTCAGCCACACATGGTCACACAGAGCCACTGAGGAGGAGGAGGAGGAGGAAGAGGAGGAGGAGGAAGGAGAGATTAGAGAGAGAACATGATAGTCATAACAAAGTAAACTGTTGTCTCTCTGCAGCGCTCAGATGAATCATCAGAGAGTGAGTAAAGTAATTTTACTGCTTTGTACCTCAACGATGTTCATCTCCGCTTTTCCTGTCCCGTCTCGGTCCAGATCCTGGAACGTCTCTGAGAGAAACACAAAGCCACAGGAGATAAGGTCAGAGCTACAATCTACACATCTGTCAGACCACCACAGCAACCACAATCTACACATCTGTCAGACCACCACAGCAGACACAATCTACACATCTGTCAGACCACCACAGCAGACACAATCTACACATCTGTCAGACCACCACAGACACAATCTACACATCTGTCAGACCACCACAGACACAATCTACACATCTGTCAGACCACCACAGCAGACACAATCAGCAGCCAACAGCAGCCAACTTATGCTGCATCCTTCAACCAAAAGAGTCTCCAATAAATGAAAGATATGAATGAAATTAAATATTTTAGAATTAAATTAAGTAATTAATATAGCCTATAAGTAAAAATATTTATTTCACTGACACCTTTTAGTTTATGAAGGCAACAGTTTTTTGAATGATCTTTGAGCACATAATAAACCTAATCACATCTTGGAAAGTATAGTTTCATCTCAGAACTATAAATATTTCCCTCTGTTGATATAAGAACTTTAACAGCATTTGTTGTGGCTTTGGCCCGTTCAGAATTACTAGCAAAAGGCTGTCTGTTGGGGAGGGAGGGTGTTCATTCTATCGTGCTGCAGGTTATGCTCCCACACAGACGTGTCTCCCCTTTTGCGCAGCAGCACTGCTGGAGCAGGATCATTGCTGAAAATGAAAACGAAATTTAAGAGTCAGTCCGTAAAGAGAACTCCATCCCGATATATGCAACTGTCCAAACCGACAGGGCTCGAGGAACTAGTAATCTGCACAGTTTATGTTTGAACTTTTTTACAATTTACTAACTAAAAGTTGTGTCCCATACCAGCGGCCGCAGCCTTGCTTCACACTGAGGTGTGCTTCCGCTTTGCGGTCTGTGTGGGAACACAGATTAAAGCACTTCTGTTCTGTTCATGCGTCCGCATGCGGACCGGACCGAAGGCCCTGTACCAAAACGGTCCGGTCCGAGTACGTGTACCTTTACACCCCTACAATCTACACATCTGTCAGACCACCACAGCTACAATCTACACATCTGTCAGACCACCACAGCAGACACAATCTACACATCTGTCAGACCACCACAGCTACAATCTACACATCTGTCAGACCACCACAGCAGATACAATCTACACATCTGTCAGGCCACCACAGCTACAATCTACACATCTGTCAGACCACCACAGCAACCACAATCTACACATCTGTCAGACCACCACAGATACAATCTACACATCTGTCAGACCACCACAGCTACAATCTACACATCTGTCAGACCACCACAGCTACAATCTACACATCTGTCAGACCACCACAGCAACCACAATCTACACATCTGTCAGACCACCACAGCTACAATCTACACATCTGTCAGACCACCACAGCTACAATCTACACATCTGTCAGACCACCACAGCTACAATCTACACATCTGTCAGACCACCACAGCAGATACAATCTACACATCTGTCAGACCACCACAGCAGACACAATCTACACATCTGTCAGACCACCACAGCTACAATCTACACATCTGTCAGACCACCACAGCAGATACAATCTACACATCTGTCAGGCCACCACAGCTACAATCTACACATCTGTCAGACCACCACAGCAACCACAATCTACACATCTGTCAGACCACCACAGCAACCACAATCTACATATCTGTCAGACCACCACAGCAACTACAATCTACACATCTGTCAGACCACCACAGCAACTACAATCTACACATCTGTCAGACCACCACAACTACAATCTACACATCTGTCAGACCACCACAGCTACAATCTACACATCTGTCAGACCACCACAGCAGATACAATCTACACATCTGTCAGACCACCACAGCTACAATCTACACATCTGTCAGACCACCACAGCAGATACAATCTACACATCTGTCAGACCACCACAGCTACAATCTACACATCTGTCAGACCACCACAGCAGATACAATCTACACATCTGTCAGACCACCACAGCAGACACAATCTACACATCTGTCAGACCACCACAGCTACAATCTACACATCTGTCAGACCACCACAGCAGATACAATCTACACATCTGTCAGGCCACCACAGCTACAATCTACACATCTGTCAGACCACCACAGCAACCACAATCTACACATCTGTCAGACCACCACAGATACAATCTACACATCTGTCAGACCACCACAGCTACAATCTACACATCTGTCAGACCACCACAGCTACAATCTACACATCTGTCAGACCACCACAGCAACCACAATCTACACATCTGTCAGACCACCACAGCTACAATCTACACATCTGTCAGACCACCACAGCTACAATCTACACATCTGTCAGACCACCACAGCTACAATCTACACATCTGTCAGACCACCACAGCAGATACAATCTACACATCTGTCAGACCACCACAGCAGACACAATCTACACATCTGTCAGACCACCACAGCTACAATCTACACATCTGTCAGACCACCACAGCAGATACAATCTACACATCTGTCAGGCCACCACAGCTACAATCTACACATCTGTCAGACCACCACAGCAACCACAATCTACACATCTGTCAGACCACCACAGCAACCACAATCTACATATCTGTCAGACCACCACAGCAACTACAATCTACACATCTGTCAGACCACCACAGCAACTACAATCTACACATCTGTCAGACCACCACAGCTACAATCTACACATCTGTCAGACCACCACAGCAGATACAATCTACACATCTGTCAGACCACCACAGCAACTACAATCTACACATCTGTCAGACCACCACAGCTACAATCTACACATCTGTCAGACCACCACAGCAGATACAATCTACACATCTGTCAGACCACCACAGCAGATACAATCTACACATCTGTCAGACCACCACAGCAGATACAATCTACACATCTGTCAGACCACCACAGCTACAATCTACACATCTGTCAGACCACCACAGCAACCACAATCTACACATCTGTCAGACCACCACAGCAACCACAATCTACACATCTGTCAGACCACCACAGCAACTACAATCTACACATCTGTCAGACCACCACAGCAACTACAATCTACACATCTGTCAGACCACCACAGCTACAATCTACACATCTGTCAGACCACCACAGCAACCACAATCTACACATCTGTCAGACCACCACAGCTACAATCTACACATCTGTCAGACCACCACAGCAGCTACAATCTACACATCTGTCAGACCACCACAGCTACAATCTACACATCTGTCAGACCACCACAGCAACCACAATCTACACATCTGTCAGACCACCACAGCAACCACAATCTACACATCTGTCAGACCACCACAGCAACCACAATCTACACATCTGTCAGACCACCACAGCTACAATCTACACATCTGAGCAAACTTGAGGTAATTATGCAACAATGGAGCAAAGTGGTCCCTGATTCAGACCAGAGCAAACGATCTCGATCTGTTTTTGTCCCTGACTGGCTCAAAATGAGACCTTTTAGTCACAGAGGAGGATGATTTATGAACACATGCAGAGCCTCAGGTGTACGTACTGAACATGGCCTCCAGTTTGACCAGGCAGCAGGTGAAGTTGTCGAAGTCGATGATCTCGTTGTCGGCGTATCGAGCGACCAGCATCTGATACAGCTTGTTGTTCAGTTTGAACCCTGCGTACAGATCTCAGGTCAGCTTCATCAAACACTCTGTAGTATTATTTATGTTGTGTCATCATCATCCTCACTTACCTCCATTTTCTAAAGCCAGGCGCATCTCATAGGAGCTCATGCAGCCGGACTTATCCAGATCGAAGTCTCTGAAGATCCCCTGAACAGAGACAGAGCAGCTGTTAGCACGAG